AGAGCATGACAGTTAAAGAAGAATCGAACTGTATTAATTCTGCAATGTGGCATCAGCCGACTTCTCATCCTTATGAAGAAAAGGCCAGTTCTCTGCCAATCCTGGATGAAGGGAGATTAAACAGCGGATAGCTCCGAGAGATTCCATAAAATACTCCAGCCATTATTCTTGGTGCCTCCTAGTGCAAATGTCCCAGAGGGAAGTAGTCTGTAATTAACAACCTGTTTTCCAAAGCAAGGACACTCTGATTTATTCTTCATAAACTGGTCCCTAGAGAGCTTGGCAGCGCTCATTAGTAAACATTAATTTCAGTCTTCCCTTTATGTAAATGTTCTTTTACAATGGTTTTATTCGCATGCTTTCTCCCCTTCCAGAACAGATGAGAGAGGCAACTGGAGAGAGGAGAGACATCTCTGAGTTTTCACATTTTGAGGCCAAGTCACTGATGGGGAAAGGGAGCAGAGCCCAGTGGTTACACACATAGCTTGCAGGAGCAAATCAAGTGAGAGACATTCATTTCATTTCATTTAACCTTTATTAGGCATACAAGAGTAGGATTTACAATAGATTTACAATAAAATAATTACGTTTTACAATAGAACTTCAGGATCATTATTATAAAATTTAAGCCACAATGTTGAAAGCTTCCAGGAGGAAATAGAGACATAAAATGTTTCAGCCCATTTTTTCTTTGGACATCTGCACGTTTTCTAGTGATACTGAAACAGCAACTTTGAGGAGCATGAATTAGACTGGGAAAACGGCACAGAAGGGTTAACCTCTCCCCCATACTATTGCGCCATTCCAGTTCAAGCACAACATATATTTTTTTCTATTAAACTCAGGGTGTGTCATCTACACTGTAGCAGTAATGCAGTTTGGCACCACTTTAACGTCCATGGCTCCATCTTACAGAATCCTGGGATCTGTAGTTTGGTGAGGCACCAGCACTCTTTGGCAGCGGAAGCTAAAGACCTTCTAAGAAAACTACAAACCCTGTGATTCCATAGGATGGAGCTATAGCACTTAAAGGGGTGCCAAACTGCATTATTTCTATAATGTAGATGCACCCTTAGATCAAAACGGTGGCAGATCCAGGCAAGAATGTGCTTGGATTGGATTGTCTTAGCAAGGTTGTGGCTGCTTCCCCCATCAAAATCTCCCAATCTGTGTGCAAAAATGTAGTATGTGAGGCAGGAGGGTTCATCCACTGTGGTGTAGTGGTTAGAGCAGAGATGGGAATCCTGCAGCTGCCCAGATGTTGTTGAACAGCAACTTCCAGCATTGTTTGCCATTGGCTGTCCTGTCTGGGGCTACTGGAAGTTGTACTTTGAGAACATATCATGGGGGTCTATAGTATCCACCTTAGGTGAAGATTGAGGAGATAGTGAGGATTGAATAGATTGAGTAGATTGAGTAGATGGGTTGGACTTGGATTGAGTAGATGCCTTTTCCCAGCCCTGGGACCCCAAATGGCTTACAAAAATTAAAACAAATACAGATGAAAGTTCCCATCAGTAAAAGCATAACAAAGGTAAACTATAATTAAACTACTTAATACAATTAGAAGCAATTTAAAAACCCATGTCTATTAGCAATTTAATTGTCTATTAGCAATTTTTTAAAAACACATGTCTATTAGCAAGCAAGAAATGCAGGCAATGCAGTGCATTATTAAAATAATAATTTTCATCTCCCATAGGCAAAAGGCCTGTTGAAACAAAAGCGGCTTTATCTCCCACATAAGAGATACAATGGAGGGGACGAGCCTAGCCTCTCTTTTATAAGATTGTCAAAGCCTGGGGACAACCACTGAAGATACCCTCCTGTCATTTCCATCCAGAGAAATCTGTGAAGGTTGTAAGATGAATAAAAGGACCTCACCTGAAAATCTCAAAATCTGGGCAGGTGTATATAGAAGATCAGATATGCCAGGCCTGAGCTATGCTACATAGGTCCCAAGCAGCACCATGAAACCCACTCACTATTTCTCTGTCTAACCTGTTCTTCTTCTTCAGGTTGTTTCTAACTTATGGCGACCCTAATTATAAATAATAATAATATTTATTTCTATCTCGCCCCTCTGCAATGCAATCGAGGCGGCTTACAGTTTAAAAATTCCACAATATATATATCAATCAATGTCCTAACCCACCCACCCCTTAAAATAGAATTAAACCAGGAAAAAAATTAAAACATAAATAATAATAAAATTTATTATTTTATAGCAATAGCATTTACATTTCTAGACCGCTTCATACAGGACTCAGTAGTCTCTAAGCAGTTTACAATATGTAAGCTAATTGCCCCCAACAAGCTGGGGACTCTAAGGTGAACCTATCTTGGGGTTTTCTGGGGCTGAGAGTGTGTGACTTGCCCAAGGTCGCCCAATGGGTTTCCATGGCTGCGTGGGGAATCAAACCCTGATCTCCATTATCATTATTATTAAAGTTTATTTCTAAAGCGCGGTCAATGTACACAGCGCTGTACAAAAATCTCCAGAGTTGTCATCCAATACTCAAACCATGCTGGAACTGCAGTCCAACACATTGTTGTTGCTGTTGTTGTTGTTATTATTATTATTATTATTTGGAGGGTGCTCATTGGAGAAGCTGGCTTAAACTATATCTGAGCCGGGAGAAGGATGATGGGAATTAAATGCACCCAAGCGGAACCAAGATAAGAAAATCATTCCCAATTCCCCAAAGACATTCCTCCGGGTTGTTGTTCTTCTCAATGTTATCAAAATCTGCAGATCAGGGGTTGTTTGAGGGAAACTTTAGCTTGCTTCTGTCCTTCTCTGCTCCTTATGGGTTTGGCTGCAGGCAGGGTATTCACCCTGATTCTCTTCATTTAACTGCAAATACCGAAAACATTTTAATGCACACACAGAGAGCGACACACCAGACATGAAAATGACAAGGGTGAAGTCATCAACCTCAGTATGTTGAGGGTTTCCAGATATGAAATATGGTCCTTCCACTTTGTGGTTTTGCATTCTGGCTTCTGCAGATGAAAGTTCACTAAATAAAACTTCAAGTGCTGAAAAGCAAAGCAACCGTGTATTGAACTCTCTTCTCTGGTACTTCATAGGAAACAGCCAAAATGCTGGGGATAGCTTAGCCACAGATTCCCAAAATTTGCACCTACAGGAGGTATGAAGAGAATTCTCAGATGCCTTGAAGGATCTCCGGAAAAAAAGTAGAGAAATGATGGTTACGCACCAAAGACAGGAGAAGAAGCAATTATTGGGGAGGGGGATACAGATGATATTAAGTATGTATTCCCTTGATCCAGTTCTGAGGATGAGGGTAGACTATCATTCCCCCTTTGGAATATTCTGCAGTAAACTGTGATCAGTTATCACAAGAATTAAATGCAGATGGCATATGATGGTTCACTATGGACCCATTCACACTACATATTTATAGCATGACTCTACTTTAACTGCCATGGCTGCATAGTGTGAATTCCTGGGATTTGTCATTTGACTAGGCACTAGAGCTCTCTGGCTGAGAATTCAAAATACTCCTCCTTAAACTGCAAATCCTAGCACTCCATAGGTTGTTATAACTGTATAGTATGAAAGGCTCCTAGGAAAAACAGCCTTGTCAGCAGAAATCAGCAACTCCGAGCCAAAACACACTGCAGAAATAATCCAATTTGAAACCACTTTGAATAAGAATAACAATAAAATACAAATATACAATTAAAATCCACATTTCTAAACAATCCTGTACCCAACCCCCCTCCCAATCATAAAAATGAAGCAAACTAAAAACAACGACAATATAAAACGAATAACGATATAAAATACTAATTAAAAATAGAAAGAATAATGAATAACTAATAACAACATCCAGCCATTGTTCTGACTGGTCTCTAGCACCAATGAGAAAACATGAGGGCTTTTTTTCTCCTTTTCTTTAAAAGTTTAAAAGTTTAAAATACAGTTTACTGGGACTGCTAAATGGTTAGGTAGCACCCTCTGCTGGCTTACAGGTATCTGTCGCACCCTACTAGAAAAGGGTTTGGGCATTTTAAAGAATTGGTATTATTATTATTATTATTATTATTATTATTATTATTATTATTATTATTAATATCCTGCCTGTCTGTAAAATACAACTGGGTTCCAAAGGGGCACCCACTCCTAGCTTTTGGGCACACAGCAGAAACAAAGACACATGCTGTATATACTCGACTATAAGTTGACCTTATGTGTAAATCAAGGGCAGGTTTTAGGGGTCCAAATTATGGATTTTAATATGACCCATGGATAACTGGAACATAAAACATGGTGTGAAGTCAAAGGCTTTCATGGTCAGCATCCATAGGTTTTTTTGTGGGTTTTTCGGGCTGTGTGGCCACGTTCTAGAAGAGTTTCTTTCTGATGTTTCGCCAGCATCTGTGGCTGGCATCTCTGGTGTTTCTCCCATTCGAGGCATTTGAAAAGGGTTTTGTCCTTCTGCATACCTTAGAATTCCCAAAGACGTAAACAGATAACTTCCATTTGGTTTTTTAAGCAGCCCATTTTGGCTCCAGTTCCATCCGCACTCCATCACCCGAAGTGGCTGGGAGAAATAACAGGTGAATTCTGCAACAAAATGTTGGAACATATGCCTCTGTTCCATGTTCCCAGCATCCAAGTCACCATGCTTTCCTCAAGGACAATCATATTAAAAGCTAAGGGGCTGTTCAGATTTTGCCTTTTTTTAGTACAACGATGCAAAGCATCTCACTCACACACTCCAGGTTTGTTATTCACACTATGGGACTGCATCAACGCACATCTCTGTCAGTTCAGTTGCTCACATGTGCAAGCGTTCAAATAAAGACGGAGTTAACAATACGAATGCATTTGGAACACCTGTGTGCCTTCAAGTTGTTTCTGACTTATGGCGACCCTAAGGGAATCCTATCATGGGGTTTTCTTGGCAAGTTTTTTTCAGAGGGGGGTTGAGAGAGTGTGACTTGCCCAAGGCCACCCAGTGGGTTTACATGCCTGTGGTGATTTGAATCCTGGTCTCTGGAGTCCTAGTCCAAAAAAATCAAACCATTATGCCACACGAATACATTTTTTAAAAATATATAGTTTGTCATGTTCATTCTACTGTCTTTCTGTTAAGTCCCACTGAAGTCAATGAGACTCTTCTGAAAAGAGATGTATAACATGGCTCTATACAAACAGAATAAAAGCTCCCGCCTCGATCCGTAGGAAGAGGCAGGAAAATATAAATAAACTAATACGAATACGAATACGAATACGAAGAAGAAGAAGAAGTTTATTTTTATCCCGCCCTTCTGCGTAATGCAACCAGGGTGGCTGACAACATTAAAATATACATTTCATATCCCATAAACCCACTCACCCCCATTTGACAGGAAGTTTTCAGGTTTTATGCTATCAATCCTAAGGTTTTCCCTTCCAAAAATGCAACAAAAAATAATGGAAACAAGTCATTCAATGACCTGTCTTTTTTTCCCCCCTTGCATCATGATGAATTAAAGGTCACTCAAGACACTGCAAAAAAGTAACAAAAGTGCATTATGTTTGTAAGGATGAGTAACAAGTTACTTTCTTGACACTACAAAAAGTAACAAAGCACATCCTTTTTGTTAAGTAACTTTCTGAGTTTCGGTTGAACCCTGCAGGGGAAGGTACAAAAAAGGATACACACACCAGACAATTCCAAATGGATCTCATTATATATATATATATATATGTGTGTGTGTGTGTGTGTGTGTGTGTGTGTGTGTGTATATATATATATATATATACACATATATATGTGTGTGTGTGTGTGTGTGTGTGTATGTGTATATATACACACGGGGCGGGGTAGAAATAAATCTTATTATTATTATTATTATTATTATTATATATATATATATTAATGTATATTAATGTATATTAATATATTAATATATATATTAATGTAGCATTATCTACAAATTGCAGTTCTCATTTTGCTTATATACAATTATATACAATTGCTTATACAGTATACAATTTCTGTATTGAGGGCAAATAAATAAACTTTCTACTTCTTAAGTGTTACTGTTATAATCTTTTTTTAAAATATATATATATTTCATATTTTGTACTTCCGCTGATAACTTTTCTGTGTTAAAATGCCTTGTTGGCTTCCAGTATATTTACAGAACTTTGGGCAAGACAAATACTTAAAATTGTACTTTTTTTAAAAAAAAATGTTTTTTTTAAAAGAGTAAGATAAATATTAAATTTGAATCATGTCATATTTTAAATCATTTGAATTAATTTTTAATTCTTCCTCTCTTCCCAATTCCCTCCACCTTCCCCAGCACCTTCTCATGATGTGTCTGAAGTCCAACAACCATCCTGGCTTCCAGGGAGATCTCTGGCTTGATCTGCTCTAGGACCCCTTTGTTGGTCCTTTTGGCTCTCCATGGGGTCCTCAGCACTCTTCTCCAGCCCCACATTCTCTCAAATGCATTGATTTTCTTTCTATGATTTTTAAAAACTGTCCAGCTCTCACATCCATCCATGGGAATAGGGAATACAATGGCTTGTAAGATTCTGACTTTTGTGCTGAGTTATATATCTTTGCATTTTAGAATCTTTCCTAATTCTTTCATATCTAATCTCCCCATTCTTAGTCTTCTTCTGATTTCCTGGCTGCAGTCCCCATTTCTATCAAGGTTTGATCCCAGGTGATGGGATCAAACCATCACCTGGGATCTTTGACTATTTCTATTTCTAGGTTGAGCTTGTGAAGGTCTTTGCTAGTCACTGATTTTGTATTCCTGCAGAGGGTAAGCAGCAGATCAAGCTGGATCTTGATATAAGAAAATAAGATGATGATGATGATGCCCTTTCCTGCTGCTTCACTAACAACACTTGCCCGATCCTCCTCCCTTTGAAACTTATTTTGGGCTTCTTTTTTTGTCTTCCTCCTCCTCCTGCAAACTCCTCCCCAGCAGAGCCAAAGGGAGGCTGGAGCAACCAATGGCTGGCAAATCCTGCCCCTTGGAAAGCAAGCCTCCCCAGGAAGAGCAAAGGAGGAAGAGAAAGTGCAAGGCGGTGCCTCTCCTTTTGGGGGTCCCCCGAAGTCAAAGGAGAAAGGGATCGATCCAGACATGGGGGTGACCCAATCCTTGGGGCTGCCCCATGGCCAAGGCTCCCATCCAGTTGGCTGTACGGACGTGATGGTGGGACAGAGCCCAAAGGTGGGTCAGGCTGCTGCTGCGAGGACATGGCCAGGCTGCCCCAGGAATTAATCCACTTTCACACCGCTTTAGCTATGGGATCCTGGGGTTTTCTAGGGCTGTGGGCTAGTTGGGCTGCATCCGCACTGCACCAAAGATCCGGTTTGACAGCCCTTTAACTGCCCTGGCTCCAGGCTCTGGGACTGTAAACGTGATGCAGCTTGATGCCACTTTAATTCCCGTGGCTGCATCCTACAGTAACCTGGGATTTGTAGTTTGGTGAGGCACCAGGAGAGCCAGTGTGGTGTAGTGGTTTGGGTGTAGGACTTCGACTCTGGAGGCCAGGGTTTGAATCCTTGCTCAGCCATGGAAGTGCATTGGGTGACCTTGGGCAAGTCACACTCTCTCTGCCTCAGGCAAGGGCAAAAGAGAGTGTGACTTGCCCAAGGTCACCCAATGCACTTTGTAAAACTACAAATCCCTGGATTCCATAGGTTGGAGCAACATCACTTCAAGTGGTGTCAAACAACATTATTTCTACGGTGTAGATGCCCCGAGAGAGAGAGGACTGCCTTAGGCAGCCGACTTTGGAAGATGCCTTGGAAAGAGTGCACAGAAATGCATGGTTGGTTACTTCAGATTGCACTTTTGCTGCCAGACGTAGGGCCCTTCTGCACTACAGTTGTAGCACTATGATCCCGCTTTAACTGTATATATCTTTAACTGTATATATATAATTAACATATCTGGAAATTTTAATGTTGTAAGCCGCCTCAATTGCTCTGCAGAGGGGCAGGATATAAATAATAATAATAATAATAATTATAATTATAATAGTTATTATTAATTAACTGCCTATGGAATTTTGAGAATTACAGTTTAAGGAGCAGTATTAGCAATTATCAGCCAGAACACTCCCAAAACTACAAATCCCAGGATTCCAGAGGACATTGCCAGGGCAATTGAAGTGAAATCACAACACTTTAATTGTATGGTGTGAAAGGGCTCATGGCAAGCTGTTAGCTCCAATTTCTGCATTAAGTCCAGGAAAGTAACCCCCAGGGATACACCGGTTGTACTGTATTAATTTTGCATTGGTTTCACTTTATTTCCAGTAGGACTGTGGCCAGTTTTGTGCATGCGGAGTCAGAACTAAAGTTCTACCAAGTTCAACATGGTTTGCTTTTTAACTTGCAAGCTGGCTTTTTCCCCCTCTTGCTTTAGCAAACCTTTTTGGAAAAATAAACCTAGTGATCGCTCCTGTGGTCCTATGGTAGGGGATCTATGTTCCATTAAATGCCATTAGTTTAATCTGGTGATACAGTAGTTCCAAGGTCCAAACCCAAGCTCAGCACACAAAACAAGGCCTTTGGTCAACCCAAAGTTCAAAGCCAGTCAGAGCGTGGAGAGTTACAAATATGATTTAGTTACAAGTTACAGTAACTCTTTGCTTTCTCTTTTCATGAAGGGAACCAAAATAGATGCTCTTTCCTTGTTGTTGTGCCTACCGATTCCAAGGTCATGGAGTTTCTGGGCAAGATGTGTTCAATTGTGGGTTCACCATTGCCTTCTTTGGAAAAGAAAGTGCAACTGCTGCCTCCCCTAAGTTCTCTTGATCTGTCGTCACTGTCGAAACAATGTAGTCTGACAGTGGTTTTACCGCCATGGCTCAGTGGTATGGAATTCTGGGATTTGTAGGAGCTGGAAGAGACCTCAAAGGCCATCAATCTCTCCCCCGCCATTAGACCATCAGATCAATCCTCTATATATTCAGAGTGCCAGCATTTAATAGTATTGACTTGTAGCCTTGCTTTAAATTAATTTTAATGTTGATAATGATTTAATATATTTTAAGGGGGGTTATATGTCTACTATAATTGTATGAGATTGTATTTTAATTGTAAGCCACCTTGATAGCCTCGGCTAAATGCGGGATATAAATAAATTTTTTTATTATTATTATTATTATTATTATTATTATTAAGCCCAACCCCATCATGCAGGAAGACATGATCAAAGCAATCAAATTGTAGTTTTGTAGGCTATTGATGTAGTGATTTCAGTGCTAGACGATGACTCTGGAAGCCAAGATTTGATTTCCCACTCAGCCATTAAACCCACTGAGTGACCTTGGGCAAGTCTCATGCTCTCAGCCTCAGGGGATGGCAATGGCAAACCTCCTCTGAATAAATCATACCAAGAAAACCCCATGATAGGTTCGCCTTAAGGTCACCAGAAACGACTTGAAGGTGCACAACAACAACAACAAGGCTATTTAGCCTTCTCTGCCAGAGAGCTGTGGTGCCACAACAAACTACAAATCCCAAGATTCCATAGCACTGAGCCATCACAATTAAAATGCTGTCAAACTGCATTAATTCTGCAGTGGAGATGCAACCCAGGTTGACACAGGTTGCTCCTCTGTGATTTTTGGCTTTGGGATGCTCCAGGTTCTCTTCTGATAAGGATTTAGCCAGTGGGGGAAAAACAATTAATTCCCTCCAGTGTTTTTCCTTCCTTTCAGGGCATCATTCAACATAATCTTCAACATAGCTACTCACAAGTAAGCCCCACATGGTTAAATGAGAGGGCCAGAAATGGTGCAAATTGAGTCCACTTTACCTGCCCTGGCTCAGTGCTAGGGAATCATGGGAATTGTATTTTTTTCTGAGAAATTGAGCCTTCTCTGTCAGAGAGCTCTGGTGCCACAATAAACTACAGTTCTATGATTCCCTAGCACTGAGTCAGGGCAGTTAAAGTGGACTCAAGCTGCATTATTTCTGGCAGTCTGCAAAGGCTAAAAGTCTCCTTGGTTCAGTGGGTGCAGTCCTATTATGCAGAGCTGTGACTGCAAATACTGAATCAGCTGTTACTCCAAATTGCTTATTTGGGTTAAAAATGAATCTGGTTATAAAAAATGCATCCACGGGATGATATGTTACTCTGACTCACTATCATTACGAGGACAGCCGGTTGTCTGAGGCAGGGATCAAAAATGAATAATAATCTGGATGCAGCTGAGAAAGAGTTGCCAAAATGGCTGTGGGGAGGGGGGGGGGGAAGCCATCCTGTTGTTGAGGCAATGGATCCACAGCGCATTTTCAACCAGGAAATGTCTAAGTGGCACAGAGCTAAGTGTGATCATCTGCAAAATTGCGACAGAACAAACTTACGTCAGAGGAACAGCTGCAGGGCTCCGTTCAAAAGTTGAGAACATGAAATGGAGACATACTTGAGCTGAGTTTAAATCCTTTATGGATTTAA